AGGGTTGAATAGTCAATACTTGATTATTCTTTTCTCTGATAGTTCAATTCTTTCTAAATCATATTGATTTAATGCTGATTTATTTCTTGTGTCTATACAGTTCTTCACAAGACATAGTTTTCATATCTGTTCGTTGTCTTTCATCTTTTGAATTGTTTTAAAGGAAAAGATTCTGAGTATCTAGGAAAGACTGTTGGTCATCTGTGGAAAAGATTCATTCTGAATATCTTACATGAGCTCAATTTTTAGTGCACCTTTGCTACTCAAAGACTTTCCTAACATAATGTGTTCCTGTATGGAGTATAAAAGAAATTGGTATTTCTAATTCTTCAAAGCCAAAAATCTTTGGTCTATCCTTTCTTTTTCTGTTTAATTCCTTCCTGAGTTCATCTCCTTTAGTAACTTCTTGGCAACTCAGGCCAAAACAAACAACTGCATACCACTAGGTTTTATCTTTCCAGTGTTCTCCTTTCGACCCAAACAAATTCATTTTAAAAGTTCTTTCCAAGAAATCACAGAAAACAACCATTAAATATTTTATCATTTTATAAGTGGGCTAGCATTCTTTTAGCCTTGAATAATGATTTTCTAATGTTTGCCACCACATTGTAAGCCAAAGACATGACATTAATTTTTTTTTCTTGTGGTAGTACCTGGCTTTTGACACCATCTTCTCTATTAGAAGACACTAGGATATACTACAGCAGTAGATACTCCTATAACTCATTGGAATAACACAACACCGCATGATTTTGCTCTCACAAAACCTGCTATGGGCTTAGGTGATTCTTTTTTCTAAAATCACTCAGAGGTTCTTCTCCTTCAGTCTTATATCTTTACATTGTCAATTGAGGCTTCTGAGTTTGCCATAGAAAGAGAAGCAAGACCATGTGAGAGTCCAGCAGAAGTTCTGACTTCTTCATGCTGGAAATGGCACGCATTCCCTTTGACCATATTTCACTGGTGAAAGCTAGAGATATGACTCCACATAACATCACAAAGACTGAGAAGTATGCTTTTCCACATACCCAACTAGAGAATATGAAACTGGATTTGATAGACACAAAATATTGTCTGTTGAGAACTTGATGAATTATAAGGATCTAGCAAAATGAAGAGAATATACAGTAAAGGATCTTCCAGGCAGAGAGGATTACATGTGTGAAAGCCTATGGACCAGCAAGAATGTGGCTGATTGGTGGAATAGATGAAAATGTTCTGTGCTTGGAATGTATGAGGGCAAGGTGGGAAAAAAAGAATAAAGAAAAGTCAGGTAAGAGGTTTCAGAATGCTGATCCTTGTAAACCATATTCAGGAGCAAGGACTTGATCACAAGTTGAGGTTTGAAGCAGAAGAGTGATAATTTCACAAATACATATTTTAACAATCATTGTGGCTTTCCAGAGTCCAAAATGAATTGGAATGGGCAAGGATTCAGTTAGGAGTCTGAGTAGTAGTCTGGGAAAGGGATTTCCTGAACTGTAATAGTTTCAGAGAGGATAGAATGATATGAATAAGCTGAGAGAGGCATAGGAGGGAGGGTTAATAGCAACTGATTACTAATTAGGTATAAGCAGGAAACAGAATCGGGGACTGTCTTGGTTACTTTTCTTTCATTGCTGAGACAAAATGCCTGATGCTCAAAATTAGGGAAGGAAAGATTTACTTATCTTACAATTTTTGGAGGTTTCAGTCCATACTCAGCTGGTGCCAAGGCAGGGTGGTATGGCACAGGGGCAGTTGTTCATGGCGGCCACAAACAGCAAGAGCGAATGGGAAAAAGAGCAAAAAATGCCTTTTTTCCTCCTTTATATTGTTGGTTATATACTATAGTCTTATAATGTTGGTTATGTACTGTAAAGAAAGTTGACCAGGTGAGTACCAGATACACATGTAAGAATGTTAATAGCAGCATTGTCCACAGTCATCCCAAATCATAGATAAATGTCCATCAACAGTAGAAGACATAAAAACATTTTGCTATGGTTGTGTAATGCACAATGAAAATGAGTGAGTCACATATGAATCGTATGAACATAACCTTGATATATAATAAATTTGCCCTGTATAAAAAAATAAAAGGTAAGTTATTATTTGAAGATGCACATTTAATCAATAACACTATGATGAAAAATAAGGCAGTTATTGCCAAAGTGATTCTAGATAGCATCTACTTTTAGGAAATACATAGGAGATTCTTTGTAGCTATAATATTCTAGTTCCAATTCTGGGTGGTAGTTAAGAGCATCTTCACTTTTATTTATTCAGTATACTGTTCATTTATTTTTAAGGACTTACAATTTTTTGTTCATATTAAAAAATTTAAAGAAACATACTTTGTTATTTTTCTGAAGCTCCATCAAAGAGTATTTTATCCTGACCATTACAGATAATAAATTGTGGTCATATTTTTTCCCTCAGGACAGTGTATGAGACAGTGTGTGTTTGTGTTTGTGTGTGTGTTGCAAGGTTCTCAGATGAGATCTTCCTTCTATCCACCAAAAGGTTTAAAGACCCTAACATAATCTCAGATGCTGGGAATGTGTACCTCAATTTGTACCACGGAACCCTGAAGCAAGTTTTCTAGGTCTTGCGCTTTTCCTTCTCATTTGCTCCTTCTGATTAACACTGACAGTGAGGATCTAAAGAGGCCTTAAGACTCTAATGCAATTTGACTGTCCACAGTAGCATGCCATCGTTTATAGTTTCAGTGCCACAGGTTGCAAATTGGGCTACTGTTTCAGTTACTTGCTTGGTGCTGAGACATAATACCTTACACAATTTAAGAGAGGAGAAGTCTATCTTGGCTCATACGTGTAGGGGTTTCAGTCCATAGTCAGCTGTCTCCAAGGCAGGGCAGCATGGCAGAGGAGAAAGAGTGCATGGCTTGGCAGCAGGAAGCAGAGAAAAAAAAAGCTGCCCTCACATGGTGAGAGGAGCAAGTCCGTTCTCTGGGTTGCTTTTCATGAGGGCACTAATCCTACTGATAGAGGCTGATGATTTAATCACTCATGATCAAATCACTTCCCATGGGCCCTATCTTCTGTTAAGTTTGAAGAAATGAACTTTGGAGGAACACAAACATTCAGACCATAGTAGCCATCATCTTAGTTGGGAAACTAACGCAATTTCAAAATCTTCCACCTGAACTGGGAGTTACAGAATATCTAGACATGCTCATTAGGTGTGTTTCTCCCTTGGGCTTCACTGATTTCCTTTTTTGCCTTGTATAAAAGGATTCTACCTAAAGAGATGGAACAGGGAAGGAGATTTTGATTGATTCAAATGTATTTGATGGCCCCCGCCCCCGATTCAGGAAAAATTTCACATAAAAATAATTTAATGAAATTAGTTTCTGGTTTCTTTTCATCTGACACTTCTCCCACTTAAAGCTGGCTGTTCACATAGGTTTATGAAGACTGTACTCCAAGGTTAGCATATCAGGCCTGGCCAGTGATTGTTCATAGGAAGTTAAGGCTTTATTCTGGGCTTCTTGATATGGAAATATTTAAAGCTATAGTATATGAAGTTTTATCCAAATATTTCAAGGAAAAAGACAGACACTATGGTAACTACTATTAAGTCAGGTTATATGGTGGTGAAGTACTAGGTTGCTGAAACAGTCAAGCTTTGACCTCTATTGTTATATTGTTATGTCCTGTTTTATCTCAATCTCCCCCTTATTCTTTAAAAAAATTATTTAGTTATTTCTTATGTTTGTCTTAATTAAGGGGAAAAATTTAAAAAATTAGGATATATATAATAGTAACTCTTTTTGATTTCCTATTAACTTGTTTTGAAGTCCTGTAATACTCCCACGATCTTGTTTTGACTGATTAGACTCTGTTCCATTCTGTATGATAGTATCAAGTTTGAGGGTATAGGCAACTACTTTGAAGGCAATAAGATTCACTAAGATGCCCATTCTGGTTTGACTATTGTCTCCTTTGGAAGTCCTGTAATGTTTACAATGCCTAAGTTTTATTGGTCTTGTTCTCTACTGTTTTGTCCAACTTTATAATATCTAATGAGATAGACAACTCTTTTTAAGGAAACAAGAGACAACGTTGATAACCATCGTTGATAATCTTGTACTCTGTTCTACACCATGTGCTATGTCTATCCTTGGTTTTGACTGACAGCTTTGTTTAGCCATATTTGACTGTATTCTCTCCCCCCCAAAAAAGTAATAAGAACTAAGGAGTAATAAAATCCAAAATGTGTAAATTTTGTTGTAAAAAAGAGAGGGGGAAAAAAAAGAGCTCTAACGGATATAACAGCAAGTGTGTTTAGGGGTGTTAAATAGCTGACTATATCAATGTTTTTGGATCATTGAACACAGCTGTTTGCAGTCTCCCTGTTTGAATGTCCATTTTGTATTCTTTGATACTGTGATTTGAGCAACTATTTTCAAGATGATAATATGTAATCTATTAACAGGTGATTTCCTACTGTTATGTTTTTTTTTGTTTTTGTTTTTGTTTTTTTTTTTTTGTAGTTCTGTATTACGTGTACCCTTACACCGCTTTGTTTTGTTTTGTGTTTTTCTCTTTTTCCTCTTAAATAAAATTTAAAAAAAATTAAAAAAAGGAAGTTAAGTAATGAGTTTCAGCAGTTATTTTTTTTTTTCCTTAGGTGGGAGCAGCCGAACCGGTACTTGTTTTAAGACTCACCCCTGCCGGTGGTTAGGCAGTTGTAACACAGATGCTCTCCTGGGTTCATTCTGTGAATTGTAATTTTGTTATGCAGATGGGCACCATGTTGGAATTAGTAACCTTGGACTAGATCCTTCAAACTATAATCTCTGTTCATAGAAGCCATACTTGATTTCAGTCATGCTAAAGTAATAAACCTCAGTATCCTGGTTCTGGGCTTTATCCATTATTAAAAGGAAACTCACATGAGTTTTAGGAATTTCTAGAGATTCTCTTATGGGTTCTTATTAACAAATTCTGTCAGCTACCACCTGGTGTTCACAATTCTCTTTATTCTTGTTTCAGACTTTTTCAGTGACCTACCATAGGGGTCTGATGACCAGTCATTCTCAAGCATCTCTAAATCCAGCATGCCATACTGATGACCAGCAGAAACAGAAGTTGGGGAGTATAATTCATCCCATCATTTGCATGACCCTGCCAGTCTTGATTACTTTTCTCTTGCTGCTAAGACAAAATACTTGATGCCCAAAATGAAAAAGGGAAAGGTTTATTTAGCTTACAGTTTGTGGAGGTTTTAGTCCATATACAGGTGTTTCTAAGACAAGGTAGTGTGTCTAAGGGGCAGCCCATGGTGGCTGAAAGCAATAAAAGTGAAAGGGCAGAAAGAGAAAAGCACACCTCCTTTCCTCCCTTTTATTGTATCCCAGCTACCTGCCCCTAGGCGGGTGAGGCACTCAGATTGCCAATCCCAGTTCTGGACAATGAACCAATCATAAATGCTAGATTCAGCCACCTCCATGACTGTGTGAGGCTTTGGAGGGACACCCAGACACAAACCATAACAATCTCTGTACTCGGTATGTGAGATAAAAAAATAATTTCTTCTTTTTTTGTCTGTAGTTACTTTCTCCTTAGGGCTCACATGAACCTCCATAAAAGCAATTTCTGGTTTTCCTCTCAGTAACTTTTCCATCACTTCCTAAACCCTTTGAGTTTTAACATCATATTTTTTCACATGAGACTTGTGTTATACCTTAAAGCTTTTTCTACAATGAAATGTTTCTTCACAAGTATAGGAAATTAAAAAACTATGACAGTAATAAAAAGAAGTAGGAAAACTCTAAGATCCAAATAATCCTCCCCAAAGAAATGTGTTAATCATGTCTGGCCATTTGAAAGTTCTGAGTTCTGGCTTGAAATTGATTCTTAAGTGAATAATTTAAGAAAACTACTTGACAAAGGTTTATGGATCCATGTCTTCTTTAGATATAAAATTACTCTGATACGGCGTTGTATTCTGAAGGATAATGGGCACAAAGCCCGGTGGTAATTGGTGGGCCCAGAAAATGACTCTTGAGAGAAGGAGAAAATTTATTATAGGAAAAGGAAAGACAAAATGGCACTGCCAGAGATTATAATTGAGTTCTCTGTATATACTAATACAGAATGTGTTGTACGAAGAAAAAGTAGATGAGACAGACCAGCTATAGGGCTTTCTGGCAAGTGAGATGTGAAAAGACTGTAGTTGGGACAGTCAGGGAGGTTGGTTTTGGCTGTGGGGCTCTAGTTCACCAATGAAAAGACAAGGGCCTGAGCCCAAAGAGAGTTTGCTCTGGGTCAAAGTGCTGATCTGTGGGCTTCCCTGGCACTTGGGTCAGGAGTAAGGAGAGTGATAAGGTGAAACCAGACCATTCTCATTCACTCCTGACTGAGGTGCTGGAAAGTTTTTTCCTCTGCTGCAGGTTGGCATCTGGGCATGAGGATGCATGGGCCCTAGTAAGGATGAAAGATACAAAGTTGCTGTTAGTGTTCCTTTCTCTAGCATCACTCCTTATTTTACTGTTTTTTTCCCAAGTTCTTGCCTCATTGTGCCTTTTTTGGGCCAGAAACCTGATTGAATGTGCTCTTGTTTCATTAATGGTTGAGACGATGGCACTGAAAACAGTTTTCAAAGAGGGAAATCATCATTTAATATCTCTCATCATGATAAATATAAAAAAAGCTTTATCTATTTAACAGAAGATTGACTAAAATTATCTTAGATACCATCTTTTGTTCAGTACCCTGCAGTTCATAGTTTATTAATCCAATTGTAGTTACTGACTTCCCAATGTGTGCCCTAGGTGCAAGAGACACAGAAGAGAACAAAACATGATGGATTCTTTGCAAGCAGAGAGGGGCAGCACAAGATGCTGTGGTAGTCCACCAGAGTGGCCCATAATCTTGTATTGAGGGATCTAGGAAAATCCTTTGAGCAAGATTAAATCCAGGAAAAATCCAGGAGGACAAATCTAGGAAAGGAGAACAGAAAGCTGAGGCTCAAAGAAATTGGTTTGATGAGAGAAGCCATGCCATTTCTCAAGCCCCAAACTTGCATTTCCTTGTTTCATGTAATACATAAGCATATCCTAAGCCACAGAATTAGAGAAAGACCTTGTCTCAACAAAACAAAACAAAACAAAACAAAACAAAACAAAACAAGACTTCACAGTGTAATAGAAATCCACACATAAATAATTACAACACCAAGTGACAAGTCCCATGCTATGGCAGAGAAGTCAGACATGACTTTCCTGAGGGGGATATTCTAAACTTCAATTTTGAATGACAAGTAGGTGTTCAACAAACAAAGGGTTTGAAAAAAGCAGTCCTTGTGTGTTCGGGAAACCTGGAAGCACCCAAACCTGCGTTGTATTTGAGGAGTTGTGAATCATCCAATATGTCTGGTGAAAGAGTTTTGGCCCGGACAGGATACTGTAGCTGGTGAAGCCTTAGAGGCGAAACCAAGGAGCTCCATCTTCCCCACCCCTAGGAATTTACCTATGGCGCCAAAAAAAGACCAATGGGCTACCTGTGCATCCCTAATGCCCCCTTAGGTTCCATCCCAAACCTAGGCTACTTATATGCCTCCACTACACGTGTTCTATGGAGAGATCGCTGGCCCCCCCCGGGGGGGGGTGGGAGATGCCGTACCCCCGGGGATCAGGGGTGTCTCTTCCCGCATTCTCAAAATAAAGGTCATTTATATTTCATACTTCTTATTTTTTCAGCAGCTGCTGGTCCCTCACAGTTCTATCATCTGGAACATGTATATGGCAAAGAGAATAGGATGAAGGAACGGAAATTCAGGGGCAAAATGCCCATTTTATACAGAGTTACACTGAACTGTGTTAAAAGGTTAGAAATAATTCAACATGGCCAAATAGAGGAGGAGCCACATTGCAGCTACTCAGAGAAAATCAACTAAAAATACAGGTAATAGGAGGAAAGCAAGGGACATATACCCTGATAGCCAAATCAACCTGAAATAGGAGGCTTGTAGATAAAAATAAAGCGTATACATAAGCCTTTACAAAATGGCAATCCATCCCACAGTGTAGCCATTTGCACTGTTGCCTACATGCCAAGCAAGATTTGCCACATGTGAAGCCTCTGAGAAATGGATGGACCCCCAAAGTGACTAACTCAAGCTCAATAGGACAGATTAGGGATGCAAGGCCTCTTGTCTCTATACAGAGGACACAGCAGCCAATTTTGTAGGAACTACTTCCTCAGTGGGCTGCCAACTTTTTTTTTCCTTTTGTAGTGTTCCCTAACTAACTGAGACTCCTAATCTCAACAAGGTTATTGACCACGGCAGAAGGGCCTGAGACATTTCTTGCCTTGCAGCCAGTGTGATGCAGATATGTGGAATTTAAACAGCCATGGCACTTTCCCTGTGGAAGATGAGATTGAAATGGACTGAGAAGCCCTGGGCTGCCTCTGAGACCGTGACAGAAGCTGGGAGTCAGGAACACTAGGGGACGTGGCAGTGCGGCCGTGACATGGCCATGGCAGTGACAGCACAGTTAGTGAGTGGAATAGCACAATCCCTCCTGCCCTGCAACATGTAAGGTTAGCACCACCATGCACCCCAACACCCACCCCATATCCCCTACTCTCACCCCACTCCTGCCAGCAAAAGGGATCAAAGCAGGAACCAGTGTCTCCACAGTGACAGCAAGAGCAGAGAGATGGCCTCAGCACCCCATCCACCCACCCTGCAGCAAGTGACATGAGAGGCAGAGACCTGCCAGGGGAGGTGGAACAGAGAGAGATGGACTTATCAGGAGGAACCATCTCTATACACTGGGAGTGGCGTTGGGTTATTTCTGTGGCAGTGACACAGAGACACAAAGGGTTTTGTTTGTTTGCTTGTTTTTTTAGGTTGTTTAGGCATTTACCTTTATTCTTGATCTGATCTATTTCTATTTCTCTCTGCTCAACTATCTCTCTTGATTTTACATTTACATGTGAGTGAACATCCTCTCTAGTCTCTCTGATCTGCTTCAATAATCTTGGTTTCTCTTTTGTTCTCTCTCTCTGCCCCCTTTTGCAGTTTCCCAGGGGCTGGGTTATCATCCTTTGTCCTCCAGCTTTGCTTCTATATTTCTCTTCACTTAACTTTCAGTTTTGTCTCTTATCCCTCTTAAATTCCCTCACCACAGGGTAAAATCACTCAAGTCCCTGAATAACGTTGGGTTTTGTTATATAACTGTAGATCTTGCCCATATAGATAAAGGTACCAAATTAATGGTTATCATAGTTTTTCAGGTTTCAGGCTGTGCTTTATGCTATTGTTAATACTAATTGTAGTAGTTTAGCCAGGATGTCATCTCTGTTGTAAACAGATTTTCTCCTTTTTATGACAACACTGTCCAATATCAAAGGATTTGGTGTTGAGCCAAAAAGATAGCAATATTTCATCCCTAATAAATTGGAAAGGTAATATCTTGGGGCAGACAGAAAGACCAAAGACATCTCTAAGGAGCATGCATCCCCAAGGGAAGTCTCAATACTAGTGATAAAGCTACCTACTATAAGACACTTACAAGCATCCACACAGAAAAAGAAATAAAAAATAGAAAGCAACAAAACACAGAAGCAAAATGCAACCACTGACCTCCAGCCCACCCAGGATACAAAGAGACAGAGGAACTCAGAAGCTACTACCTGAATTCTCTGGAATGATACCAGCAAAAGAAAACAAAACCACCCCCAACAAACAAACAAAACAAATAAACAACAACTGCAGCAGCAAAGTAATTCGTGAGGCTATAGAGGAAATCAAATAAATAATTTCCCAGGTTAAAAAAAAAAAAGAGAGAGAGAGATGATGACCGTAATCATGGACCTGCTCAGCAAACCTAAAGTATAGGTTAAATATAGAGAGACATAGGAAAGTGATAGAAGGCATGAACACCCAACATAGGAACATAGGAGAGAAATAAAATCCATTAAACAAAGTCAAACAGATATGCAGGCAGTTAAAAATTCCATTGAAAGCTTACAAAATCAACTGAACAAAAGTGAAGACAATATAAAAATTAGAAGACAGAATTGCAGTTAGTGATCACAAGAAGAAAGATCTGTTAAAATTAGCAAGGAGCCATAAAAAACCAATCCAACAGCTGCAAGATAATGCCAAGAACAAAATAAGATTGATTGAAGTAAATGAAAAAGCAGGGATCAGAACAAATGACATAAAAACCTGTTCACAGAAGTAATGGCAAAAAGCTTTCCAAGGATGAAGAAGGAGGTAGACATAGAGATATGCAAGGTATTTAGAACTCCAATTATTCATGCACACAATAAATATACAATAAGAAATACAATAATCAAGATTCCAGAAATTCAGCACAAGAACAAAATATTAAGAAATATTAGAGAAAAGAAACAAGTCACCTGTAAAGAAAAGCCCATCAGAATGCTAGCAAACTTCTCAACACAAGAGTTAAGGACAACTTGGAGTGAAGTATTTCAAGTTCTGAAAGAAAACAAGTTCCAACTCAGACTGATGTATCCTGAAAAACTATCCTTCACAATCAATGGAGAAATGATGCTTC